CATACAGACCAGTTCCTGCTCACTGGCTGAGCGAGGCGCGGGAGCAACACCGAGGGCTGCAATCGGATTGCCGGTCCCGGTCCGGTACGGGGGCGACACTGAGGGTTGCGATCCGTTGCCGGACACGGAAAAAGACAAAAAAAAAAAAGAACTCTGAATAATTAATAAGCATGAGTAGCAGATGCTTTAGGGAGGTTATGGCCATGACCATTAAGCTAGGAAATGCCCACCCCACTCAAAAAGGTTGGCCCATAACAAACATATTTGTGCCACATAATCCTAGTCACCCACCCCCAAGTCATGGATGATTAGAACCTTGACAATGCAAGTGGCAACATAGATCCATCAGATTCTCTTTCAGATATTTAGAACTGACATGAGAAAGTCTGGTTGCACTCTATAGATGCTCGAAACTGTGTTATGTATGCTAGGAAACTATGTTTATGAAGTCTATAGTTTATAGTGTCATTTGAGGAATAGCGAAGTTCCATAAGCAGAGAAAGCAGAGGTACAGAAAGAGAGGTGGTAACAAAAATATTGAGGGCTTCCAATAGCAGGCTGAAGTAGATGGCATTTTCCAAAAATGGCTGCAACAATAGCTCCCAACATCATGTGCTCCTTTTACCACTCCCCACCAAGAGGTGGAGTTTCTTTCTTTACTTCTTTAAATCTGGGCTGGCCCTTTGACTGCCTTGACCAATAGAACATGGCACAAGTGATGCTCTGCCAGTTACAGCAAAAGTCCTTAACTGGCCTGGCAACTTCCACTTTTTTTTTTTTTTTCTGCTGCCTGGTAGGGGGATCCGAACCCATGACTTTGAGGTTATAAAGCTGTGCTCTAACCAACTGAGCTAACTGGCCAGCCCCACTTTCATCTTTCTGGAACACTTACTCTTAGGGTGCTCCCTCTTGGAATCCATTCAGCATACATGTTCTGAGAAACCGAAGCTACATGAAGAGGCCATGGTTAAGTGCTTCAGTAAACAATCCCAGGTGAGTTTTCAGCTGACAACTGCTAGCCATGTGAGTGAGCCATCTTGAATATCCAGCCTAGATGAGCTTTCAGGTTACCACAGTACCAGCCAACAACTCAGTATAATCACATAAGAGACCCTGAGAGAGAACCATCCAGCTGAGCCTTCTCAACCCACAAAACCACTATAGATAATGATAAATAACTGTTACAAATCCAAACACAGGCATTAGTCCCTTCCTGAGTCAAAACTTTATTTTTGCCTTTGGTTTTCATGAGACTTCCCTTTATCCTTATAACAAATCTTACTCCCCCATTTTTGTTTTTGCTTTAGTTAACTCAATTTTGTTACTTGTACATAAAAGTCCTAAATAGTATGCTGGCTATGCAAGGAGATAGAAATTATGAAAACAAAAGCATTTCTGGTTGAGGGAAAGCAAGTTGCAGATAGGGCACTGAACAGTATGAAGACTTTGGCAGCTATAGAACCACAAATGTAGTTGGAAATTAGGTATTAAATAACCTCATGTCCTAAATGGTTTCTAGTATTTTGAAAATGAAAACAAATTTTAAATTTATAAATTGTTCAGAATCACAGATAGTAACAGTTTCATTGCTAATATTTAATCTAATAACTGAAGAAATTCATAGTGAGAAAATGCTACTATAAACCAATAATACTTTGAAATAAGTTTCCATTTTATAATCACTCTAGAGGTGTGTATGTGCAGAGAGAGAAAAAGAGGAAAACACATACTTGTACAATATGTATTTATTTTAGTGTTTTTAAACATTAGAGGGGATTAGGAAGAAAGAGCAAGGAGAAAACCATAAATAACACAGCAATTTAAGGAACGTGGAGAAGAAAAGCACCAAAGAAAGAGAAGTAACAGTCTATGAAGAGAAGAGGAAGAACCAGGAAGAGAGAGAATGTCACTTAAATCCAGTGATGTGAGAATTTTAAGAATGAGAGAGAGGACAACAATGTCGATTTTGAGACAGTTTGAATGAGATAAATAGTAACCAGGGTACATTAGTTGGTCAATGAGCACTGTAGATGGAACAGAGTCAGTGGATGATGAGAGAAGAAATCAGATTTCCAATGGCAAAAGTCTGATTAAAGATCAAAAAGCATCCTTATAAATATAGTTTAAATTATATTTGAAGACATCCGTCTCTACACATAATGAAATTCAGGTCACTCAGACTTGAACGCATTTTAAAGCTTTGTGAAATGAGCCAATGGATAAAGATTTTTTTAAAAAAAAAGTTAAGAAGATAATTGATTAGAAAAACCCCATGGAAAGCAAGGGAAATGGAGTGGAGAACAAAGGTCATGGTCAATGAAAAATTTTAACCAGAGGAAAAGTAGCTCTTTTTTGAAAACCAAAGGTAGAGATAATTTTGGATATGGGGACAAGAAGCTTCTTACTTGATGCTCTCAGAAATCAAAATGGAATAATGTTAAGAGCAACTAGGATTTAAATCTCAGGGCTTTGACTTGCCACTTTGGGCAAAGCACCAAAACCTCTGGGCCTCAGTTTCCTCATCTCTAAACTGAGAATGATAATGAGAAGCCAGCAATGAGAATTTATCATAATTTGTAGACAGTATATCTGGGAAATTTTTATATCTTTATTAGATTACTACATTGCTGTGGTTAAAAAGATTAGATGTGACAGTATGTGTAAAAAGACCTGTTTAAGTTCTTTGTACAAATATTTACTCATAAATTATCAATGATGTTACGTATCATTTTCTTATAAAGATGAGACCCTTGGTATCTGCTGAGGATAAGACAGGAGGTCAAGGATAGTCTAGAGGAAAGTGATGAAAGTTACATCACAATTGTGGAGATGGAGGAAAGAAACTGATGAGAGAAAAATAAAAGGATATTCAGAGAGAGTAGATGGCCCAAATTACATGTCTGTAATAGTATATGTCTACATGATTTTAAAACTTTTTCCACACCCTCAGCAACCAAGATATAGTGAAAGAGAAAATGAAATATACACAGTCTTTTAGCCTTTTATACCAGAGGGATAAGAGAAGAGCACAGAACAAAAAAAACATCATCAGTATCATCATCACCAAAGCAGGCATTTGTGTGAGCTGGTATACCAACACTTTACATAATTCATTCCATTCCTAATCAAATTAACATAAATATTTATCATCATCATTTTAAAATGAGGGTGAAAATGT